AAAGAGAGAGACGCGCCAAAATACAAATCTATACTAATATACAAATTAGAAAATTAATTACCAGATCAATGTTTCCTACAGGGGAAGCTCTGTAACTAAATCAGGAAACATATCAAAAAGAGCTTGAAAAGAGATTAAGGCCGCAGACACTCAGAGATCAAGACACCCACGACCATTCCTCAAAATCTAAAGCAGCATAACTACAGCGAACAAAGAAAATATTATAATGAAAACACCTTCGTAAACGAGAAGAACCAGAAATGACAAAACTAATAAGGGAAAGAAGGAAGACTGACAGAGATGCCGAACACACATACGGACACCTTTAAATATAACGGAATATAAAGGGAAACCAAATTTGGATAACAATTGAAAAGGTGTATAGAACTGTTTTCAAAAATTTCGAAAAAAAAAAAAAAAAAAAAAAAAAAAAAAAAAAATAAAGATAAGAAACACACATGGCACAATAACAACAGACAAACATAAAATTAAAAATGAATACCACACAATTTTAACGAACAATTTACTCAGCCTGTATATACCAAACAAGATAGAGTACAAAAACGCATCACAAACGTAGGATCAGAAGATTCAACCACAGAAATTAAATACGCACTTCGACAAATAAAAAATGGCAAAAGCCCAGAAGATCGTATTACACCTGAAATGCTGAAGATGGGCGGAAAACCATTAGTGGATGCCGTGGAAGTATTGTTAAATAAATGTCTGATGGAGGGTAGAATCCCGGACGCTGGAAAAACGCAGAAGTTGTGCTATTATACAAAAAAAGAGATTTTACAAATATAGAGAATTATAGACCAATAAGCCTTCTCTCGCATCTATACAAGCTCTTCACTAGGATTATCAACAACCGACTGTCTACGAAACTAGATTCCTATCAGCCAATAGAACAGGCAGGCTTTCGAAAAGGTTTTAGTACCATCGATCATCTACAAACAATTAAAACAGTTATTGAAAAAACAACAGAATACAATATACCTCTACATTTGGCCTTTGCAGACGATATTGTCTTGCTGAGCACCGACATTCAAGAACTAAACACCATGCTAAATGAGCTAAATGACCAATCCCAGAAAATTGGCCTTAAAATGAACTTGAAGAAGACCAAGATAATGAGCAACAATATCCATAACATTACCGTTGAACCAACCGTACTTATTGGAAAACGTAGACCATGTATATACTATTTACGGTCAACAAATCAAGCTGGCAGGAACCAAAATACGGAGATAAAACGCAGGATCCATTTGCCATGGGTACATTTTGAAAATGAGCAATATTGTTCACGGATAATAAGGTGCCCATGAACCTAAAGAAAAAGGTTTACGACAGCTGCATCCTATCTGTGTTTACGTATGGCTTAGAGAATTTGGCAATTACCCGAAAAACAGCACAACAACTACGTGTAGCACAAAGAGCCATGAAAGAATCATGTTGGGAGTCACCATTAAGGAAAAAATAACTGAAATACCCACTACGTCCAAAAAAACAAAATTAAGTAAATGTCGTTAAAAGAAGTGGCAGTCTGAAGTGGCAATGGATGGGACATGTGGTAAAACAGGATCCAGACCGATGCCCCCAAAAAGGTAATCCTATGGGGACCTAGGGGAACAACAAGAAGAGGGCCGGCCAAAAAAGAGATGGGTCGATGACGTCAGGGCAGTGGCCGGAAGACAATGGATAAGAATGGCTAGAGATCGCGAAAGGCATGGAAAAACGAGAGAGGCCTATATCCAACACTGGATGGATACTAGGCTGAGAAAGAAGAAGAAGATATTATACATGGTTATCAAGGGGTTGTTTTTTTTATATATTAAGTTGATGAGTCGGTCTCTTAATGAAGAAAAGTTATTTTGTGTAAATTTTTCTAAAATAATAATGTTCTGTCAGACGAACCATGTCTCCTGAGCCTTTTTGTTTTTTGATTCATGTTAAATTGCCAACACATGCCTTGGTCAATTTCTAAGAGCGAAATATGGATCGCGATAATTGCAATTTTCAATCATTACTTTTGGATGTAATTTTTTAAATAAGCGACGAGATTGTTTTTGGTGACAATTGTTCCGAAACGTCATAATTACGCTGCTTGATCTCTACTATATTTAAAAACCTCAAAAAACTACCGATACAGTTCGGGTTTTATAAAATAGACATTACTAACGATATTAAAGAAAAATCCGTAATATGTCGTTAATACTCAAGTATACAAAACAGAAAACAAAAATTTGTAAAAATAGCCCTATACTTTGTTATTGTCTCCCTTCGACCTGCTAAACTTGCCTTAAATAAGCTGTTCCGCTCATGCTTGTTCAATTGCTGCTTGCATATATCATATTGCGTTAGTTTCCCATTCCATCTTTTTCAAGGACCAAGCGAAGTCCATTTAATGAAGCTGGTAACGCTTCGCGACCTCTAACCTTTACCCAAGCATTTCGCATCTAAAACGCCAATCAAAACGTCCGACATGAGTGGGCAGTTCATAGGTAGTGTATTGTGTATAAATGGTGTATAGTTTCACCATAACACTCAAATCCCCTATCATATTGCCACAAATTACTTCAAAAGAAATGATAATTGAAAAAATTGCAAATTGTGTTGTGGCGTTCATTTTTCGTCAAAAAATCATTCATCATATTTTCATGTTTTCTCTAAAACGGTATATAATAAAAAAAATGCTCAGGAGATATGGTTCTGACCGTAAAAATATGGTAAAGATTTAATTTTAGAAAAATTGACCACACGAAATTATTGAACGGTGTTTCACAAAGTTAAGCGTAACAAAAACAACCCTGTCGATAACCCTGTCATAAGATAGCCAATACAATTCATTTATGGTAAGGTAAAAAATGGGATGTTTTTAAAAACAATCTTCTCTGAAATAGAACTCTTAATTCTTCAATTTTTAAATATAATTTTTTATTATATTAGTATATATATATTTTCTTGTAGTTTAAGATCTATATTAAAAACATAACCACTTACATGTCAAAAGTAATACCAATCCGAAGGAAAGAAAATCAGGATACGGGCTTAGGTAGTTAACATTCATTGGGACCCATTCTTCAAAATGGTCCCTGATAGTATTATTAGTCAGGGCATCTATGTAATTGCTTAAACCACGAGCCACACTAGCCGTACCTGCAAGAATAAAAACATGTATTCTATTTTACTTCATGTAATTGTGCCAAATTGCATTGATAATACTTACCAATAACATATTCCAATATTAAGTTCCATCCTATAACAAAAGCTATGAATTCCCCTACACTAACGTAGCTGTAAACGTAAGCTGAGCCGGCTTTCGGCACTCTAGCTGCAAATTCCGCATAACAGACTCCTGAAGCAAAATATGGATGTCAAATAAAAACCTAGATGTTAGGCGGTATATGGCGGTGTACATAGAGATATTATATCGAAAGAAAACTATAGTTTCATTTGCAATCAATTACTTGAAAAACTTATTTTAAAAATAATATTTTCTATGCAAAAAGTACTGCTAGTAGTAATCTAAAAGAAGTGCAAGACTTCCTTTAGATTGTTACTCGAAGATCTGCAAGAACCAAGAACTAATTAATAGCACTGAAAGACTAAGGAATTTCTTGGTATTGCACTTTTTTGCTCATCACTAATGACGACTTCTAAACCCATTGGAAATTTTTTCTCTGGCTGACCTTACTTACTTACTACATTATCGGACGAGTATTGATCACGCATTCAGAAGATGGTTAGTTTTCTTTCATGAGCGTTTCTGACTGGAGCCCGACACGTGATGTTATCTCTCCTTCCTGTAGCTCCGGACTTCAAAAATCTCATTGACTTGTTGCTCTTTACCTTTGGTTGTCGTTTTAATGAGTTTTTATAATGTCTCGCCATTGCGTTTTATTGGGCGCTGCTTCTTCCACTGATTCTGCAAGTTAATCCCCTTTAAGTTATCGTGAAAAATATCCTGTATCTGCTTGAGTTGTCCCGGCCTCCTCTTACCGGTCTACAAGCTCACCGTTGAGAAAGAGATTTCGGATCATTTTTTTCTACATCTAGGTATCATCAAAAATAAAGATAAGAATATGAAATTTGTAGGGTTCTCTTGATCTGACAAACAATAAGTAACGCAACGATTCAACAAGTGAGTGGTTTTTTTCCAGATATTTCCGGACCTGTTACGTGATTACATTGATATCTATAAGTGTACTACAGCTTGACTACGTTATTACTTAAGGGTAATTAGTATATGAAGCCCTTATCCAAATAACTATCAAGTATATTTGATTCGTATTCAATATTAGGTCGAGAGAGGAATGTAATTAATGATATTCCTTAATTAATTCTTTGTATCTCAATGAAACTATTGGTTTATTTTGTAGGTATACTTTTTGTATATCTCAAATTTAACTAAATATATTGGGAAGACCTTCAAATTCCAATTTAAAAATCATTTTTTTTATCAAAATTGTACAATGAAGTTTTTTATGTCAATTATTATTTTGTCTCAGTGGCGTAGCTAAAAAAAGGCCGCTGGGTTCAAACCATTAATCAGCAAAATTTATATAAATTAGTCAAAAAAATAAATTATAATCTCATATTTGTATCTTAGAGTAGAAATATTAAGATACAGGGTGCGTCTCAAAAGTGGCTCACCCCTATAACTTTTTTTATTTTTTCAGATAAAAAAACGAGATTTCATATACATTAGTATATGACATAAATTAGGATTGATTGACGTATTCAATTTTTTTGGTCACTTCCTGTTTCACCGGAAATGACTACAACTTTTGGTTTTTAAATAGCATCCTCGGTATTTTTTACTTTATTCGATAGAAAATGACATTCTGAATAGAATGACATATCATATGTCAACTTTTGACATTCTCTTTTAATAAAAAATCGTATTTTAAAATTCAATCTAGAGTGCCATGGCTATGTTAAAAACACTAATACTTAATCGAGGAGCCTTGGAAAAATAGATTTCATGGTCTAATGTTTTTAGTATTTTGTCCTGGCCAGTTAGAAAGTGCTCAAATCGTATTTTTAATCATATCTCAATTTTTTCATATGGAACGAGGGTGGCTCATTAGCACATTTGGAAAAAGCATTTTTTACGAATAATTTGATACCACACACTTGGTATTTCGAGTCAAATTTTCGTTACGAACCACAAGTTATAATTTCAAATAAATCGTATGCGAAAATGTCAAAAGTTAACATATGATATGCCATTCTACTCAGAGTGTTATTTTCTATCGAATAAGGTAAAAAAAATACCGAGGTTGCCATTTAAAAATCAAAAGTTGTAGTCGTTTCCGTTGAAACAGGAAGTGACCAAAAACAATTGAATATGTCAATCAATCCTAATTTATGTCATATACTAACCTTAAAACTAACATACCGTTTTTTTTAACTGAAAAAATAAAAAAAGTTATAGGGGTGAACCACTTTTGAGACGCACCCGGTATTCCTACTTCTAAACATTTTTGAAATTTCTTCTCCAGTTTGAATTAACACAAATTGGTGGATAATTAATCAAAAGTAATTAATATAACCTCTATTAATCTATCATATCGTCCTATTGCTGCCAAAAGTCACTAACTAACATTTTTCCGAACAACCAAATTCAATCACTAACTATGTTTTGAAGCGGAGAATCGATTGCAAAAGTCATTAACTACGATTTCTGGCTATTTATGTTTTATTTTAATACCGAATAGTTACTAACTATTACATCTTTATGCAATGCAATTCATCTTTAGACGCATTTTTCTCGGAAGTGATAAAAAGTAAGTTAGTGACTTTTGGCAGCAATGGGACGATATTGTAAAAAAGTTTTCAGAATTTTTCAGACTTCTTCAGACTTCTTCAGCGTCTATTTTGCTTTGGCGCTATTAGGCCAGTGCATTTTCTCCCCCTTCCCCTGGTAGACACGCCACTATAGTTTTCATATTTATTTATTTATTTTTAAATGTTTAAGTAGTAATGAAGGATCAATCATCTGTTAAATATATAAAAATTAAAACTGTATAAAATTGCGGTTTATTATTACATCATTGAAAACGCTCAAAAAAATTACTTCTTAACTTTGTTAACCTGTTTGTTAAACTGGTTTCTTAAGTTGGATTTAATTGAGGTACAGGGGGCCTTGATATAACAAAATACTTCATGTGATTTTATTTCTTCAAATTGATGCGCCTGAATTTGTTCAATTATAAATAATTGCTTGTGTTTATTGAAGTCATGTCAAGACGAATATTCTAATAGGCAATTTTGGGAGAAAAAACGATGGAATATGAGAGATAAAAAAAGACAGAAGCGCTAGGAAATATAGTTGGCTTGTGTTTCTAGAAAGCTATACAAAAGATCATGCTTTGTATGAAATAAATTATAATATATCTACATCTCCTAGGTATTTAGGTTAGGTTAGTTTGCTGGTGTTTGGGATCATGTTTGATCCCTCACTCGGAGGCCATGAGCACTGAATTATTGTACTGAATCTTCCTTTCATTCTTTCTTTGCGTTAAAACACTTCCAACTCTTTGCAAAGTTCCTGATGTCGCTGATGTTGGCTTCCTTCTGCTTCCTCTAGTCTCTCCAGAAAACCTTGCCCTAAAGTTTTAAAGCGTTGGTATTTCAGTGCCGGACAGTGGCACAGCAGGTGCTCTGTGTTTTTTTTCTTACTCCCTTGAGGCAGTTTCCAGCTATGGACTAATAATAATTTTCCATTTCCACCTTTTACTAATAATAATTATAAGTATAATTATGCGTATTAGGTTCTTGCTGTGCTCTAGTAGTGTTTTGCTGTTTTGGCTATCTACCGCTGGCCACAGTCTTCAAGCTGTAGCGCAGTTCTCATTCTCCTAGGTATTAGGGTATTACTATCTGTATACTGTATCTATAACGATAAAGAAAGTAGCACAAGTAGTACTTTCTACCCTAATGGAAAGTACCCTTTAAGGACAGTTACGTAATTTTATACACTGGCCATTCGTTTTGGCATTAAACTATGTGTAAGAGTACCAAATTTCAAGAGAAACAGTTTACAAATGTTCTTAAAAATAAACAAAATATATTATTTTTATTTACCCTTTCGAGGGCTGTAACTTTTCGGGAAGCATTTTAAGGTATATAGGCACTTTTTGTTTTATTTCTATCTATAGAATCTCACACCAAAGTTTGATACACTATTTTTTTGACATCCTGTATACAGGGTGGCGCCTCTAATTCGCCGCGGAAGCTCCAAGGAGAACGGTAGTTTACATCGAAATTAAATTTTGACAGCATATGTAGTTTAACTGAAAGCATTTTATAAAAATATATAGAATTATACAGGGTGTCCCCCAAAAAAGTTACATATCAAAGTTGTGTTTTTTCTGATGGAACATCCTATATATTAATTGATTTCTAGGAAAATAATCGGATTCTAGGAAAAAATTAAAGGCGAGTTTTATTAAACAAGCATATACCTAAAATCTAAGGATTTTTACATATTTCACATTCTGTGAAAATGAAGACTAAATTTTAAATTTCGATAACAGCTACCTAAATTTTAGTTGACCTTGTATAACCTGATATTTAATTACAGTAACCATTGTATGTTAAACCAAATTGAAATTTGACCCGAAAAGTTATACAGGGTGACACAAAATTAATATGGAACATTAGTCACTTTTAAAAGCAAGTTACTCCTTTATTTTAAATGGAACACCCAGTATATTTTTCCGGTATTCAATGGGTTATTTATATATCTTCAAAATATTATAAAGGTTGCCTACCCCTCAGATATACATTTTCCCAGATATTTTAATTTTTATGATTTTGCGTCAGTAAATCTTTATTATTTGAAAAAATCTAGTGGCTGTGTGATATACCTTTTGTTAATTTAACAAAAATTAAAGATTCTAGATTAAAATACTCAAGGGTAATAAAAAGATACACATTTAAAACATATTTTAATTATTACAGAATTAAAACTAGATATAAATCTATAATTATAAGACAAAAATTAGCTAGTTGAAATCAAATGCTCAAAATGCTTCCTTTCCTGTTAACTACATTGTCTTGTCAAAAGGGTCTTTTCATTTTAAAAGGCATATGTGGAGTTCTACCTAGAAAAGCAGTAATAATTTCTCTCATGTTGTCGACACTAGTTGGTCGAGTTTTGTAAACACTGTCTTTAATATATCCCCATAAAAAAGCAGACTAGATAAAATCGGGGGCATTTAAGTATTATATTAATTGGTGAATGCACACTGCATTAACAAACTAATAGAATCATATCAGTTCTCTCTGATGTAGGATAAGTTTGCATTTTCGGCAAATTTCTGAGAAATGTTTTTATTTTAACTGAGACAAAATGATAACTAGTTGCTAAAGTTGGACTAATTAGACAGCTATGTTGATTAAAGTCAGACATATTACCAGCCACCTAGTTTTTATCAAATAATAAAGATCTACTCAGATCAAATCATGTAAATGAAAATATCTAGGAAAATCTTTGTTTGAGGGTAGGTAGTAGTATTTTGAAGAGACATGAATCTTCCATTGAATATCGGAGTAATATACTGGGTGTTCCATTTAAAATACGAGAGTAACATACTTTTATAGGTGACCAATGTTCAATATTAATTTTGTCTCTGTATTTTTTTACTCTGTACTTTCTCTGTATAACTTTTTGGATTAAGTTTTAAAAAAATGTAAATGTTAAATATGTCAAAAACCTTACATTTTAGTCATATACTTCTCTTATAAAACTTACCTTTATTTTTCTACCAGAATGCGAAAATCAATTAATATGTAGGGTGTTCCATTACAAAAAACACAACTTTGATATGTAACTTTTTTGGGGACACCCTGTATAACTCTCTATATTTTCAAAAAATGCTTTGAATTAACCTACATATATGCTCACAAAATGTAATTTCAATACAAACTGTCGTTCTCCTTCAAACCTCCGCGGCGTATGAGAGGCGCCATCCTTTATACACCCAAAATTCAAGATGCCAAAATATTTTGAGTTACCGCATACTATATACGTTCATACCCTTTTTAGTTAACAATTTTTTTAACCTTTTATTTCAGAGGACATTTCAGATTTAATACCGTTATCAGTTTATTAAGAAAAAAACTGGTTATTAGATTCTAATCTAGTTTACGTCAGTAAAAATAAGTGTTGTCTAGGTCGTATAAATTTAAAAGATTTAAACCCATTATTCATTCATTTCTCTTTCTTAATCTCTAATTAATATATGGGTGCCGCATTAATATGAATTAAAAGGTTACTAACCTGCGAAAGCGCTGGCGACTGCCGCAACTAGAAAGGATAAACAAACTGCGGGTCCGGCGACGGTTTTGGCGACAGATCCGGCCAATACGTACACTCCAAGACCTAAAAATAAAATAATGTTGTCCTTTAATTACCAATTTGGACTTATCTTTTAATAAAAAAATAAGCAAAGAACCCATGATCATCGAAGAAAGAACCCATGATCATCGCCGTTTTTTTTCGGTCATAGGGCAGTATGATAACACCGCATTAAGGCTTCAAATAAAAATAGTCTACTATATGCAGAATTTCATGCTGAATCTAATTCCGTACAGAAAGATGGGGATACTGTTTAACAAAACTTACAACTTTATCCTTCCCCTAGGAGATGCAAGACCTTGTCGTTGGTGGAGAAGTTCCTGGTCAGGTGCTGGGGGGAATCCCTCTAGCGCCTGGCTTGATCTAACAAGCATCTCACTCATCGTCTTGTCACTGGCTGTAGTATCGTGGCCAGGGAATTGCACATATAACGATGCTGGACGAGGCTACCTCGGTCCGTCATACCAGTCACCCTCTACTGACTGTGGTCATGTCTCGCGGGTAGAGGGTGTGGGGGGGGTCTTGGCTTAACCGCTTGGACCAAGAGGAGACAACCTCACCAAAAACCTAAATCCTACGGTGGCGGGACCAGGTCAAAGGGATGCGTGGCTAGATAGAAGACTAGCCATTACTGGCGTCAAACTTGGGGCATCAAGGGGCACCCCATTGTATTTACCCCTTACTTCGACATGCGGGGCTCTGCCATGCGGAAGTGGACCGACTATCCCTAGCAACTCGTGGGAACACATGAGATCTAGCATTAAAAATATCACCGGTGAAGCTGTAGGGAGGCCCCATAGCGACACTGGGAAAATTACAAATGAAAGTTCCAAGGGACCAAATCTAAAGGAAACTAGAAGAAGGGCGGCTGACACTTGCTTGGGATCATCCTCCACAAGTGGCACACAAGCTATACCACCTTCTCCAGCAAGGGTCGGGAGCCTAGCTCTAGACCCAATAAGCGACACAAGCTACCGTTTCGTCTACCCGGCCTGGGTCAACCGGGCGGGCTAGACGTTCCTCTGAGGGTAGGTCTTAGCGGATCAGAAGCACGGAGATACTTCCAACTGCTCCACAAAGGACTTGCTCCAGAGGAAGCAAAAGCGAAAACACTCCTCCGAAAAGGTAAAGAAACCAAGAAACAACCTGACTCATCTCGATCAAAGGGCAAGAGAGGGAGCGAGAACCTCTCACCTCCTCTCCGGCAGGGAGAGAAAAAAGCCAGGATGGAAAGCCGTCCATCACCGGGAGGCAAGCAGGGACGTATCACCAGCTTTGCCGATATTGCTGGACAAGTGAAAATGGCGGTGGTGCCAAAGGATTTCCCAGAGGTTGCTCTGACCACCGACCAGCAAACGTCTCTAGAAGAGGCTATACTGGACAAAGTAGTGGCGATCGGATCGCAACACAACGATCTACAAAATGTGGGTCAGCTGCGTTTTGCGGGGATACACTTTCGGGCAATCATGATCCTCATAGATTGTGTATCTCAAGAATCGGCGAATTGGTTGGTGGAAATCGCACCTAAGCTTAAAAATTGGCAGGGGCCGGAACTGGTTGCAGTGAAGGGAGAAAACATCCCTAAAGGGGCGGCCATCACGGTCTGTCTACCTAGGAGGCAGGGGAAAAACACCACCTACCTGCTGAGCTTTATCCAGGGTCAGAACTTCAATGTAAGGACATCGAGCTGGCGAGTCATCAACTCGAGGGAGGAGGGTCATGATCAGGTCCTCACAATAGAAATTGACCTAAAATCCACGGAGGCAATAGAGAAAGAGGGACATATCCTCTATTATTGATACGGGACAACAGCGGTATCAGGTCTAAGGAGAGACCAAGTTAAAGAGGTGGATAAAATGCAGACAGATTCTCCAGCCTCCACCTCACGGGTTTCTTAGCCGGAGGCAAGCTCCTCGACTGTGAAGGGCGGCACGGAGGGCCAAACTCCAACCGTGGAAGGGTGTGTACCCTCGGAGGAAGAGCTGTTGTCGGGGAAGGATGGGAAATGCCCTGTCCCCTCTACAACAGGGGTATATATGATAGGTTGTAGACCGTGTGATGACTCAAGGAAGGGGGGCACAATAGATCTTTAAGGTTGCAGTGATTAACCCCCCCTCTTACTCATTCCACATTCTACATTTTACAACTGTATCATTATTTTGCTTTGGGGCACCCTATACAACAAATTTTTTAGGATGTGCGCATTTATAAACCATGCAACATTTGTATAAAACTATTTTCGTCAACAATAACGATATTGAGGCTCCCGCAGACTAATGGGCAACTCTGTGTATAGGTATAGTGTTTTGAATCTTCTAAATCACAGCGTTCTATAAATGAAGTAAAATGAAGTAAAAACTGGAAAACACATTCATTATAGGTTACAGGCATAGCTCTTAAAAATATGAGAATGCAAGACGTGTTGTAATTATTAATAAGTAGTAAATAATAATTATTATGTATATCGATTATATTTCTTTTGAAGCTCGTCATTTCGTAGATGCAATAGCCCACCCTATCCTGGTTGCCCTGTGTACTGTGTACTTCGTATCACTATGTAATGTATATTAAAATAAAATGCTTCTTAGTCCTTTTCGATATTTCAGTCATTTAATTTCATCATTCATCGTTGTCTACAACTTTCAAACCCATATAGTATTGGAACTACATTCCAATACTGTATGATTAAAATTTCAATTATTACGAAATGTCAATAAACAGCTGGTTAAGACATATATTGCTGATTGGATATTAAGAAATGAAAGAGATTATAAATTATTGAGAGATAATAATTATATTTCCAGTACAATAATGAAGAATGCAAAAACTATTTTCTGATATTTTTTCCCATTGTTATTTATCTACGCTTCCAATATTTCACAATTTAATATTTAATATGCTTTTTAGTAAAACGGACATCATATCATAAGGAAACTGCAGGTCGCTCAAAAAAAAATGCTGGGAATAACCAAGAGAGACAGTAAAAGAATAGAGTGGATAGGTCAAAAGACCCAGGTAATAGATGTCATCCACAGAGTCAAATCCTTGAAATGTCAATGGGCAGGACACTTGACAAGAAGAATAGATAACAGATGGGCCACAAAAATTACAGCATGGTGCAGAATAGGAAATAAGAGATCTAGAGAAAGGCCGAACCTGAGATGAGACCATGGTATTAGGAAATTAGCTGGGATAATTTTGGCCTACATAGCTAACAACAGACAACAATAGGCTCAACTACAAAGAGAGTAGGTATGTGAGGGAGACTACACCATAATCGGAAATGGTTGAGTAAGCTGAAAATGATGATGATGATGATGTTTTTAGTGTTTTTTTTCTGATCTAAATATTTAACAGGAATATGAAAGCTCGGGGTCAACTTTGAACTTGCCCCTCAAAATCAGCTTATCACCATTAGACATTTTTAAATATTTCATAACTATTTCGTTCTCATTGTTTACTATACTACCAGTACGTAATTTGTAATTTTTAATCAAACTAATAGCAACTAGGAATTATAACTACTAATGATGAATGACAACAAAAAAATAAATATACAGGGTGTCCCAGAAATAAGTGCAAATATTTTAACTGGTAGTATAGTTCAACCCCAGAAACAAGCCTAAGAGGTTTTTTTCGCGAAAATTTTTTTTTAAAATTCGAAATTTTTTGGAAATTTTTTCAGTTTTTAGTTAAAAAACATAATTTCCTGATAATATGGCAACATAGGTATTAGATTAAATTTACAAGAAAGAAAATCCAGAAAAGATCCAGTGGTTCTCAAAATTTTAGCAAAAAATCATTTTTTTTTGGAAATTTTTGAAGTAAAATAACTCCGTTATTTTGGACTTATTTGAAAAACGATAAAGAGAAAATATGTTTCTTTTATCGAGATCTACCACCCCTTAAAATATTTGCACTTATTTCTGGGACACCCTATATATACGCTAAATATTTTACTTTAGATTTTTTCTTGTTGTTGGTAATAGAATCTTCTCTTTTAAAAGGTAACATACTATTAGTGCGATATATTATTTTAATGCTAAAAAGTCGTCGGATTAAAAGTTGCCTCTTGATATTTTGTCGATGTCGGGCTCCCTTATGAGACAGGTAAACGCAATTTTATTAATCACAATCAGTGAGTACTTATTTACAAAAAGATATTTTTAAATATCTTTGCATTTACAACTTTGGCCAGCTAATGACGTTAAGATTGCTAAGACTTGAATTAATGCAAATTAATAAAATTGCTTATATTTCATCAAGGAGAGCGAAATCGACAAAATATCAAGAGATAACTTTTAATCCGACGACTTTTTTAGCATTGAAATAATACCTATATCGCACTAATAGTATGTTACCTTTTAAAAGAGAAGATTATATTACCAAAGACAAGAAAAAATCTAAAGTAAAATATTTAGCGTATATGTGTCACTAAAAACATTAAACGGTTTATACAATTTTGTTAACAAGAGTAAGTAGTATAATTTATTATACACGCACTTATACTAACTTTTACCCTCAAAATTTCATTCGAATCGCAAAAACTACTTGGAAGAAAATTATAATAAATCGGAAAAATTAAAACTTTAACCTTTGCTTTAACCGGCCTGTAGCTACGAAAAAAAGTGCAAAAAATGAAGCAATGCAAAGCAGAATCACACCTGTATTGATATAAAAAATAAATCTTATTTTTACGTGAGGAATCTCCCCACGAGAGATGGCACATTTTTTTTGAAACATCCTGTAGAATTGAGTACATGATGATATTTTTACCTTATACTTTTTACCTTAGATTATTTTATACGATCAAATAATGACGTCATTTCTAGAATGAAAACCTCGATGAAAACAACAACATAGAAAGATAGACTTTATGGTACCATAAATAGTAGATAAGTTCTTTTCATGTGGTGACTGTGCCCACCCTCATTAAGAACTCACGAGCCGCTGCTGGTTGAATGAACAGTTCGCTTGTTTCAGTACCTACCAGCTACCAATAATAAAATAATTCTACTTTTAAAAATTAAATAGTACCTAGAGTAGATCCTACACCTAGAGCTGTCAAGTCCAAGAGGTTTAAACACCTCGCCATCTCACTTCCAGATCCATCGGAATCAGTTTTTCGACGTGTCAGACCTTTAAAAAACTTAGTAGCCATCTGAAAAAAAGAAATTATAGATATACTTTACAGTTTATAGCTAATAAAATAGTTTTCAACATATGTTGTATACCGGGTGTTCTTCAAAAGTGGCTTCAACAGTTATAGGGTTAACTGATTTTTTCCGATAAAATACTGAAAGTTCGTATGATTGTGTTAGTACATACCACAACTCAGGATTGATTGACGTATTCAATCATTTTCAGTCACTTCCTGTTTCACCCAAAATGGCTATTGAAAAGATTGAGTTATGATTAAAAATGTGATTTTCACGAAAAACATTAGACGATCAAATCTATTTTTCCAAGGATTCTTCATTAAAAATTAGTGCATTTAACATAGCACTCAAAAAATAAAACTAATTTAAAACACTATTTTTTTAAATTAAAAATGTCAATAGTTGACATATTTGTGATATGTCATTCTATTCAGAATATAATTATCTAAGAAATAAAGTAAAAAATACTTCGTGTTATCATCATTTTTTCGAAGAAAAATTTATGATTAATTTTAAAAAAATAAACTGTAAACTATTTCCATTCTAAACATCCTTAAGAACGGTTGCTCGCAGCGATTTTTAAAAAATCACGGAAATGTATATTTTTTCACTCGATAGTTTATACAGGTACGGACGAAAAGTTATTACTCTTCAAAACAGTTAAAACTCAAAGATTAAAACATATGTAGGTGGTGCCCCCTACAAACAGCAGTCATATTGACATCAAAATCAAATTTCTCATGTCAAAAACCAATTTGTGTCCAAATATTGACGGTACTTCAGAAATTATATGAAAACAATCGAAATAAAAATTAAACTTCCACATCCTGTATCTCCGAAACTAAGCATTTTAGGACATAATTCTAAAATAATCATTTAAAGTTTTATTTGAATTAGATTACCAAAAATATATACTGTTTATTTAAAGGTTTTCAATGTAGCATCTAGTAAAAATTTATTAAAAAAATGCAAGACTTGCAAGAGTATTTTATTTAGTAAGACAAAGACTAAAAACAAGGCAGTCATGGTTTTGCATTTGCTCATCACTATATGTCATTTATACGTTTTTTTTTTTCTGTATAATTGTAATAGTTTTATTTTTTGGTAATCTGTTGATTTTTAAAATTCACACACATAGACGTCAAATCCACTTAATTTTTTCTCTTTTTCAAAATTATTCTAATGTAATACACATACATTTGGAATATATATTTCAAAAATTAATATAACATTGTTTATTGTTCTAAAGCATTAATATTATCAAACAGTTATATGTCGAACAAAGATGAACCTGTATTTTTTGTTTATTCAGTTATGCGCAAATTTTAGTACGCGTGAAGTCTCTATGTTATAATAAAATAAATGATGATATACATCATTTGTTGAGATTGTTGTAAAATTAGTTTTGATACTTATTGTAATACTGACAATTTTCTATGTCTAGCGTGCATATGTGGTGCGATGTTTATGGCCCCCAGAAAACCAAATTGTAGTTAATTTCTTTATTACTGTAATTAAAGGCATTTTTCTATACATACTATAATAAAGACGATTTATATTTTTGAGATCTTATAACAATAATTCACAAAATCACAAAAAAAAAATAAAAATGTAATTTCAAAAAAAATTAAAAGTATGGTCTGTGCAATATGAATATGAAAAAAATAAATAAGTAAAAAGGGAATAACATTATTAGTGATTATATTATTAGTATACTACTTAGGTTATAGCTCAACACATGACAATTATAAATAATTTAATTGATACCTGAATAAAGTTATGATTACTGTGATATTGTGATATCAAAAACAGTTAAAATCAAGATTATCTTGATAGTTAAAGAGGTATACGGGGATTTTGAAAATACGATATACCTACTTGAAATTTACAGTGTATTTTCTAGTAACTCCCCTACCCTGTAGGCACGTCGATTTCTTTTGAGAATTTTCTTGAACCTAGATATTGAGATATTGATGCACAAAGTCATACATTTTAACATGGCATTAGACTGGAGCGCATAAGAGAGGGGTAATGGGGGTAATTACCCATCCAAAGAAGAAATTTATAATAAGATAATATGTAGTATTAAATAAAACTATCTCAAAAGATATGAATAATACTAATCAAAATAAAAAATCTACACCAATCTAAATTTAACGAATATCCTCCCCAAAATGAGGGAATCAAAAAATACTCACAATCTTATATATAAAATAATATATTATTTTTTTTACAAATAGGGGGGTGGGGTTCGAGACGGTGAAGTCTCATTTTCAGGCCCAAGCTAAAATATCAGAGAAAACATTCAAAAGAAGTAAAAAAACTTCATATAATAACAGTCAAATAAACACAAGTCAAGTATTAAAAGGACCAAAAGACCAAGGACGGGGAATGGTTGTAAGTTGTAAATGACTTTTATCTTATACATTAGAAATTAAGGGTATTTAATTGATGATGAATGATTAGAATGGTTATTGACAGATTCAGTACTATAGGAGAATTTTTAGGTCAGGGGCTTCGAACATCCTCAAAAAGAAAATTCGACTCCTCCAACTGCCAGTGGATGACATACCAAGAATTTACAACTTTGATAAACACCTCACTGTAGTATTCAGCAAAAAAAAGGATTGGAGATAAAGAGATAAATATTTGCTCAGCATGTAAAAGACCATACTTGACCATACCATAACGAAGGCGCGTGCGGTCCATGGATGTATACCATGATGTATACCATGACCCATGATTACCTATGAAGCAGTTGCTTGGTATACAAAACTAGAGCAACGTACAGCAAGGCAAAACCTGTGCAAAGTACAGAGACTGGCATGTATCTGCATCACAGGTGCCATGAGAACATGTCTGACAGCAGCAATGGAGGTCATTTTAGACCTAACATCACTGCAAATTGTCGTCGGTAGTTATGCCAATGCGACAATGATTAGAATAGTCATTGACGGAAATAGTACTGGGAAAATTTTCAGGTCAGGGGCTTGGAACACCTTCAAAAAGAAAATTCCACTTCTCCCACTCCCAGTGGATGACATATCAAGAATTTACACCTTTGATAAACACCTCACTGTAGTATTCAGCAAAAAAAAAAGGATTGGAAGAGATAAATATTTGCTCAGCATGTAAAAGACCATACTTGACCATACCATAACGAAGGCGCGTGCGGTGCATGGAAGCGGGGGTTCCCTATCCGTTGAGACCAAGCTTTTTAATTAATAATTCATAGCAAGTAATATGAATCGAGGTAGGGGTTTATATGTGATCTGTTAAACATATTTTTCGACTTTTTTTATTAACTTTATCGAATCGCTTCCACGTGGTATACTGATCCTTCCAAAACCAAAGCAGGGACAGGGATAGGAGTATTTGACCCGAAAACTAAATACTCCGAACTAATGGGCACCTACCCCAGCATCCTCCAGGCAGAAATCTGCGCTATCGAAAGATGCGTACAATATATCTTAGATAGGAACTATCGAAAACAGGAAATAACCAATAGAATTATCCTAGAGAAGCTGAACAAATGCCTAGAGAAACTGAACAAATTAGGCAAAGAAAATAAAGCCCTCCTACTCTGGGTGCACGCTTACCAAGGGATAGAAATGAAAAAGCAAACGATCCAGCTAGAAAAGGATTGAACACACAACTGCACCAGAATCGTTCTGCTTTACAGCTTTCCAAGAGGAAACGAACTTAAAGCGGAAATGAAGAACCTAGAAGGCCCCATCCGTAACCTGGGAATCCACCAAAACGGTCTAAGACACTCGAAAAAGTTCCTCAGAACTTGCGGTTGCGGCCGGTAAAAATCAAGGATTTTTCTTGAATTAAGTAAAAACAATCTTCGGATTATCACGAGGTTTCTAACATGACACTGTCTCCTCAACCAACACCTCAGTAAATTGAAGCTGAAAAACAACAGCGAATTCAGATTCTGTAGGGAAAATGCGAACACACCAGAACACCTTATCACTGAGTGCGCCGAAACGTCAATCGTTCGTGCTATAAACTTTGGTAACAGCTAATGGCGAAGATGGAGAGCTATTTCATGGAGCTGTCTCAGATAATGGCTTTTGGTTGTCAAAGGCTCCGAGATCAGGGCGATGGGGTTATAACCTTCGATATGTAACTCTTTATAACTCAAGAAAGAGGAAAACACAATAGATCTAAGGTCGCGGTGACTAATTAACCCCCAACATTCAATTCAACATTTTTTATAATTTAACAGGTGGCAACCCTAGGCCCCCCCCTGCGACCCTGGCTCCCCTCCCAAAACCCAACAAACTCTCTTAAGTATTATAATTTGAAAAATCGTTTGAAATTATTTGAAATTTTATCAAAACACGACACTATAATTATGTGCAATACCGTCGTGCATTCTAATCATTAAATTACCTTATAATTTAGCATTTGTAAAAACAAATTTTAATTGCCGTTCTTATAGATAAGTATCATTGTTACTTACTTACTTTACTTTTTCGTATCCGGACCATATAGGTACATAATGTACAATTATAATTTAAAATTCTTTAGCCCAGTACCGGGCGACGTCTAAAGCATTTTCATCGGCGTTCCATAAATCTTCTAGGCTACAGGTATGAGGGCAACTTCTGCAGGACAGCAGATGCTCCATATTTTAGATTTCGCCGTACCCTACATTTCCTTAGGAATTTCAACTCGTGATAAGTCCCCATTTGCTTTGTTGGTTTTAACAGGCGCTACTCCTGTTCTGATGCGGTTTAGTGCGGTTCCACGATGCGGTTCCACGTGACCCAATCAAGATGTTGGCCTGCAGAATCTTCTTCTCTAAGAGGATAATCAAGCGGCGGATCTTCTTGAACAGTTTTTAAAAAGTTTCTTCCGAGATCGGAGTCTGTTTGATCCTTGGAACTCGCCAAAAAGTGGATGGCGCTCGTCGAACATCTGTTTGAACTTTTCAGCGCGTTCAGCCGCTCTGCGCCGCTGTCGCGGAGCCGCAAACCGAGGCTCTGTAAAGTTGAAATAAGCTTGTTGCTTTCATACACCCTGTTGTTATTCGGCATGTTTCATTTAAAGCAACATCAACTTGTTTGGCATGGCTCGATCTATTCCATACAGGACAGGCATATTCTCCCGTTGAAAAACATAAAGCCCGTGCAGTGGTTTTTAAGACAGATGGATTTGCGCCCCACTTGCTTCCAGTTAGCCTTCTCAAAATGTTATTTCTAGCGCTGACTTTCATGAGTTTCTGACAGTGGTACCTATATGTCAAGGTCCTGTCTAGTATCACTCCGAGATAATTCGGCTTTTCTGTATGCTCCAGCAAACTACCTCTCCACAAGATATTAAGCTTCGTTGCAGCGTCTCTATTGCGTAGTTGGAAAGCGGAAACCTGCGTCTTGGAAGGGTTGGGATTAAGTGAGTTCCGGTCGTAGTAACTAGCCATTGTGTTAAGTGCACCTTCCAGTTTTTGTTCGACGCTGTGAAAGCTGGTATCTTGTACAGCTATTGCCAGGTCGCCAAAGACAAAAGAGAAAATGTTTTGAGTAGGCAGGAAGGGGTTGATCGTTGGTATATATATTAAACAGCATTGGCGCTGAGACGCCTCAAGCTCCATTCCTTTGAGCGCCTCCTCCATCCGTTTTACCATTGTTCAGAGCTAAAGCGTCGGTTCTGCATCATTGTCTCGATCACTTTTACCAGATTATAATCCAATTCTCAGCATATATTTCATTAGGAGGTGCTTCTATGAACGATGGCACTACATGCTAGTAGGTTGAACCAGCCAAGAGCGACTCCAGTGATCAGCTTCTCCTCGTATCCCCTCTCGATATGCTCTGTAAGAGCCAAGACCTGCCCAGTGCATGATTTTCCTGGCCTAAAGCCCGCTTGCTGAGGAATAAGTTTCGATTCTACGATTTTCTCCATGCGTCTGAGAATCATTAGCTCGTAAACTTTTAAATGGGACACAATGAGACTGGAATAGGCTATCACAGTCCTGATCTTTAGGCTGGTTTCAGAATACAACTTGATTGCCAAGATTCCTTGGGATTTTGGTGGTTGTCGGTACATTCTTTGAAAAAATTTCAAACCCATGCAACCGAATCCAACAAGTTGTTTGAGTGTTCTGCTGTATTTCTACATAGTATCATTTAACCGAGTCCAAATTATTTCAAATTAGAAATATCAGTGCAAATGTTAATTTACAGAATGTCGATATGACCTTTTAATACTAGAAGGCCAGGGGAATACCTAAAAGAAATCAAATTAAAGTAATTTCACGTCTCTCTAAATAATCGATTTCTTTTTCACTGATATACAGTTCTTTTTTCAGTGTTCACTTTTATTGAATAATGCAATTAGAGACATGTATAGCCATATTAATTATTGGTTTGTTTTAACCTTGGTTTTAACTCAACATATATACAGGGTATGTCTCTTAAATAAATTACAACGGGCGAATATTTTTCAGGGCTGCTGAATCTCGATAAAAGAAACATGTTTTCTCTTTACTGTTTTCAAATAAAATCCAAAATAGCAATGTTACTGAAAATGAAAAAAAAAAACATTTTGAGAACCACTGGATCTTTTCTGGGTTTTCTTTCTTGTAAATTTGGTTATCTACCTATATTACCATGTTATCAAAATTATGTGTTTTAACTGAAAACTAAAAAAGAAATCAAAGATTCCAAATTTAAAAAAAAAATCATGAAAAAAGACATAGCAGGTTTTCTGGGGTGGGATAGAAACCGTTTGTGGCAGGCACCAATGTTCCTTTCAGTGGACTATACGAAAATGGAAAGATCTTAGAAACAAAATATTTTTATGAGTATATGTGGGAGGGCAATGTGCATAATTTAAAATTATTTTTGAAATGTACAGGGTGTGTGGAATAACTTATAAAATAACACTTTTGACAAAGAGTTTTTTGAAATGCTACTTTTCTATTTCATTAGAGGCTGAAATGTGAGAAAAACCTATTAGGCAAAAACCTGTAGTTGGAAATGAATTTGCCTTAATTGTTCTTTTATAGAAAATCAATATATCTACAAGTCATCAAGTCATCGTAATATAAATCAAGAACTACTTCCTTATTTTTCTTGATAAAATAATAAATACTTACTTATTAAACTATTGTGGGTAATTTACATTATAAATAAAAGTAGAAATGACTATAAATTAAAATACAACAAAAAAAAAAAAAAAATTTTGAAAAATTTTGAAAATTCGTTTTTTTTTTTTTTTTTTATTTTATTAAAAATCGTTTTTGCTCAAAATCTGAATGGAATAGATATAAGAACCCTAATATAGGTTAAAAGAGCATTTAAAATCTGCTTGGACTTATTTAAAAAATATATAGTGTTGTATTTGAAATAACAGAAGTTTTTATGAGAAAAATAAATATTTAAAATAGCCAACAATTTGTGATACCCTGTATACATTTAAAGGAAGCAATAACATTTTCAGTAAATTTTTCTCCTGGCTTCAAAGGAGTCAAGCACAAGAATTAACTCTGAAAGTAATGTACAGTGTGTTGACAATTTTTTATTACTTAGCATGCATATTTAAGTATCTTTAAATATCTCAAAAACAAAACATTTAAACATATTAAACCCCTTATAATAAATGCCTTATTTTATGTAAAGAACCCAAAAATTAAATAAAATGCAAGGTGTTCCATAGAGAAAAATATAGCTTTTGGTATGGATCTGGTTCCACAGCCTTTCGCACATTTGAAATAATTTTAAATTATATG